CCAGCCTGCGTAGCTTGACGCGTGTGGCAGTAAATTTGGAGCCAGTCTAGGGCGTGGTTGTGTAGCAACGTGGGGCTCACTCTCATATCCGTGGATGGGCACTTAATTAATTGGAACCACAGGCCTCTTAAGCAAGATACATGAGAGAGATTTATTTGTGGTACTCGGGTGTCGGTTATTGGCCTTCAGTGAATAAAAGTAGTCAATTATTGACTAGGTAAAATAACTTCCAAACATAATTTTCTACGGCCTAATAAAGGAGACTTCACCCTTATACACTGGGCTCTGGGCTCATTTTCACCCTAAACCAAGTTGTCCATTCCAAGTGGAGAAAGTGGTGTTACTAAGACATTTTGATTTAAGGCTACTGGGACAAGGATTGAATTGGGGATAGTTCAAGTTTCATGATGCATGAATAGTACGCATCTGCACTTCCATCACTGACCACAGGTAATCTGCCTGCCTTATGTTGCAGAATATGCAAAGGAGAGAGTACATGGTTAATCCTTCACTCTGCTTTTAACTTCCTCAATTTTGCAGTGTATGAGGAGAAATAAATTAGTGCTTTGGAAGAAGTGGAGCTGCCTATTAAATGAAAGTTACCAAAGAAGCAGTAATCACTGCTATGGCTGAAAAGAAGTGTTCAGTACTTACCCTTTCCCTTTGAAACGGTGACCATCATTTTCATCTTCTTCATTAATGCTCCCACAGTAAACAATTTTAAAATTCAGCTTGTAAAAAATCCCAAAATGCACGAGAAAAGGTCAATACATGAAAGTTTGCTGCTAACTATGCTCTACTGACCTGATTGAAGTAAATTGACGCTTGATTATCTCAGGGACACGACCTTGAAATAAGCATTTGGCGCAGTAACTTGTACTTATGTGGTGGTGTGCTTGTTTCGAATGCTTTTTAATTGTATTACTTGCCTTATGCGGTCTTACATTTTTGCCCTAAACAAAAGCAGGATTCGTTCCGAAGTCCTAGTTGCCACACGCCTTCACTTGTTACAAGCAAATCCGCGCAAAGTTGATAGCAATGTGCAAGTATTCTCATGTCAAGTTACGCCTTCATTCGGTGTTACTTTAAAAAATGTAACAGTAGTGTGATGAGTTGTTAGCTAATCCACTTTAACGTTGTGACGTCTAGTGTCCAGAGGTAACAGTCGTTGGGGACATTTCGGAACTTGCTTCGTCTGTGAAATGCAATTGCAGAGGTGGTTTGGAAAAGAATGAAGGACTTACATGGAAGACACTGGCTTGGCATAATGCATCCGTCTAGATGTAGAAAAAGCGAAGGAGTTGAGTTTCAAAGCTTCACGTAGATCTTCCCAGATATCTGTTAAACACTGATGTTGCCTTTAAACATATTAATGCGGCTATTTAATTATGCATCCATACATGCATATATCTATCCATCTAATTGTCTAATATAGCCTGTAAATGAGTGATGTGGCTGAGTTGTTAAGCACATCCCATTACAATTCTGAACTTTGACAACCACACAGTGCGAAAGCGCATTGGTGATTCTGATGCTACACATTAACTTACGATTTAAATGATCGGTTGTCATGTCCCATCCATCTGAATTTGTAAAGCAGTCTGATTATTTTTTGGTAGGTTTTTTCCTCTGCTCAAACATTAAACCCCTCTTAAGCTGATCTTTTTAAAACCACTTATGCACCCATCCATCCACCCACCTATTCATTCATCTTTCTCTCTATCAAATTATTTTTGTAGTAGGCAGATGAGTAATTTGACTGAGTCGTGAAGCACATTCCGCCACAACAAGGTCCGCAAAAATTATGAAATTCGACTTCTGTCGGGCATGCGAACGCAGAGATGATTCTGGACCAACCAAATGGCATGCTTAATTGGTGGTTGTAGTGGCCTACTTTCTTAAGGCCATTTAAAGTACAAGACTGCACCAATTTTTAGATTTCTTTCTTCTAAATCATTTTTAGTGTTGTTGTTTTAAATAGTTCTCTTTACCTACTGTCACGCCACTTGAATTAATGTGACTCTCCGTCTATCTACATATTTATCGAGATCCACAAGCCATTCTTTGAGATAGTTTTCCAACACTTTCGTCGCTTTATAGCTAGAGATCCTAACTTCATAATACTGGTCCTGACGTCTTACTACTTGCTAACAACAAATGGGCGTCAACAATGGTCAAATCGACTGCAGGATGGAAAGTCTGCTCACAATTGAGCATTCAACGGGGTCTAGACACCTACGTTAGCTCAATTTGCTCGAAAGCAACTTATGCTACGATGTCGAATGTGGGTCCTGTCAACATGCACGCCATTTTACTAGAAGTGTTGCCATATGTCCACTCTCTATCGCCCTGTTGGTTTTGTTGCAAGTTTACTGCCTTACATACATGCAGACGTTACCTTCCCGTCTGCGAAAATACAGCCTGATTTGCGTACGCGTGTTGGTCAATTTCGCAGAGAAAACAATAAAAAGAAAGGAAATGCTGTTATGTAAATATTATAATGGCTTGGGTGGTGAAGGATGTCATCTTCTCCTAAATTGTCAACCTGGTCAACCCGGTTTACAGACTGAGGCTAACCAGACAAATGATTCCACTTCTCACTATCTATCTAATAATACAAACTGCTCTGATATTTTGAAAGGCTGTGAAAGAAATCAAGGCAAGCTCAAATGACCGTTTGGTCTGTCTGATCAAGAAAGTGGAATGATTCATGTCATGGTGGGAAATGAGACTACCGCGACATGCTCTTTGTGTCAGTATTATATACTAGTGCGAATCAGGGCGTCCAACCGATAAGATACTGCTAAATGTTGAGTGCTTACGATGGTTATGATGGTTTCTATCGCCACTAATAAGGCGTAGAAATCGGTATAGCCTGTTTAATATCAAAATCCCAAAGCGCCAAATGTTGGAAGCAGGGAGAATTGGAGATTGCATCAGTAAAATAAGGCGAATCTATAGTTAAAATATCATATCATGGAATCTGCTGGTTGTTTCATTATTTGAGTGGCTGAAATTAATATAAAATCCCAGAATGCAAGAATCGCCAGTTTAAATCTCCGTTTGCGTCTCATGGTCATTAGAGGCTCCACGATCGTGCCTCCACTGGACGTCGTAGCCTTCAGTCCATACCAGTAACCCTCCCCCACAGCTTCCCTACGTCAACAAACACTGTGATTCAGATGTGGCACTATCCTCAGTCTCTCCTGTTTGCTCGGTTTTAACGTGAGGAGGCATTTTGCGTGCCTCTAGTTCATTCAAAAAGACGAATTCAGGAGACGTTGCACTTCCTGTATGCTGCAGTACTCCATAAATGTCAATTCCTATTCATCCCCAGGACTGAGTCAATGCGGATCCCTACTTCAATGTCCTCATTATCTTGGGTCTTTTAGGTGAGGCAACAATTAACTTGCAGCTAGCTGATAAATAGCGATAAGTTGTGGTTGCCAAGATCGTTGCTAATATCTTTACCCATAATTGTCACAATGTCAATTTGTTTAAGTAGGACAAGTTTGTTTTAATGGCTTTAAAGGATGTTTAACTAAGCGGATGCTCTAGCAGCCGCGTTTTCAATTGCTGCGTCCCAGTAACATGGGGACTCGCTCACGCCAATTCAGTTAATAGCACACC